GAGAGAGAGAGAGAGAGAGAGAGAGAGAGAGAGAGAGAGAGAGAGAGAGAGAGAGAGATGGTAGAAGTCGGGTGTGTGCACGGGAGGTGGAATGGGGGGGTTTGGTTGGTGGTGTTTTGTCTCGTCAGTGTGGTTGCTGCCACGGTCAGCGTCCCTTCAAGGGCAGAGATCCAGACGTTCGCCGTCTCTCGACGGGCACTTGCGGACAGCGGAGCGTCAGCTGACTGTGTGACTTGTGGAAATGGCACTTGTATATCGCCCAAGTTAGCCTGTGAGAGTCAGGCCTGTCTGGACGGTATAGATGAACAAAATTGTGCCAAATGTGAAAAAGGGTGGGATGCGTTCAAGTGTGCTAACAAGCAATGCATCATCAAAAGTAAACGCTGCAACAAAGAAAAGGAGTGCGATGATGGCTCCGATGAGAAAGATTGCAAGTCTTGGCGTGACAATAAAGCATTAATAGCTACCATTGGAATAATTGTTGGTGCGCTAATCATATTGTTTGTGTGGCTGTTGATCTCTAGTATCATGAACTATATACGAAAGAGGGGCAAATAGATTAGACAGGGAGGACTTGACACAGGTGAATAATTGAAAGGGAGGATGTTGATTAAAATAAGGACAAAGACGGTCGGCTCTGTCAGTAGAGTCCGTCCCCAGCTTTGCGTCGGCAAAATGAGAGACGTTGCCGGCCTGGAAGAGGAGCAGGTACGTTCGTGAGAGGGGAGGAGGATGGAGAGAGAGAGAGAGAGAGGGACGAAGGTGGCGGCTGCCACTGACACCATTCCAATTCGTTCTCTTTTTAATCGCGGTCAAGAAGGTGGGAGGGAGAGAATTATCGGAGAATAATCATACCACTTTTGCAAGGTAACGACTTTGAAAATCCCCCTGGTGGAGTTTCTGGCGCTTGAAAGAGGGCAAGCGAGCCGGGCGGCGGAGGAGGGAGGGGAAGACCGTTCAGGTGACCACTACCGATGGACTGGAATCGTGCAGACAGTTCAAATCAGCGAGAGAGCGAGCGAGAGAGACACAGAGAGAGAGAGAGAGAGAGAGAGAGAGAGAGAGAGAGAGAGAGAGAGAGAGAGAGAGAGAGAGAGAGAGAGAGAGAGAACGGGGTGGGGGAAGTGAACCTAGAGAAGAAGGTAAGGGGATGGAAATTACAGACGCATCGTTGGAGTCTTGGGGGGGGGGGGAAGCGGCATCTCGACGGCATCGTCGGAGCGTCTGAGGCCGGGTAGAGAGCCTGTGTGAGTTTTCGGCTGTAGATTAATCTTTTCAAGCATCTCTTTTGCGAGCTTCCGTATGATTGGACGATTGGCAGTTCCGCCATGACTTAACATTTCGTCTTGGCTTTGCAGTCGCTTCGCTTCCCTTTAACGCAAGAGACAGAGAGAGAGAGAGAGAGAGAGAGAGAGAGAGAGAGAGAGAGAGAGAGAGNAGAGAGAGAGAGAGAGAGAGAGAGAGAGAGAGAGAGAGAGAGAGAGAGAGAGAGAGAGAGAGAGAATTCGCTTTCCTTCGTACTTTTTCCTCCTTTTCCTCGACTACGCAACTCCTCCTCTGCTCTTTCTCGTTGTGCTTGTCTTCTTCGCTGTCGTATTCTTCTTCCTTTTCCTCTCTCACCGTTCTCTCAAGATTCTAATTGGTCTCGTTTTCTTCGTCATCCTTTCCCCCCGCCGTCTGCACTACTTTATAGTATTCTTTGTCTTGATTACTGTCGGGCCTCGACCCCTACACCGCTCGGTTAATTATTATTGCACCTCCAACTTGTGTAATTTCCTGATTTAGTATATTTCCGTACATTCTCCTATTCTTGATTCAATTGTAATCTCCGGCGGATTCTTTTTCCTCACGGTACTTCAAGACATTCGCCATTTTTATTTACTGACTTGTCGTTGCATGTGTCTTGATTACTCTCCTGCCTTCTTCGGTGTCGATTGTTTTATTGTTGTTGTCATCACTAGAAGCGATGTTTCCGTCCTTCCTTGGTCGGGCGAAGCTTCAGTGAAGCTTCGCTTTGCTCTTGCCTCGATGACAAGATGTTATGTCAGCACGATCAGGCGAGGCGACCTTTCTCCGTCGCCGTCTGATTTTGTTCCATGCAGGTACGTCTTTAGACGATGATGGTACATTAGGTTGTCAGGTTTCCTATCGAGGATAAAAAACCTGCTAATTAGGGGATTACATTTTTTAAGTGTGTTATGAAGCGAAGTTTCCTCCTTTTGTAATCATCTTGTTCACTCCGAATTCGACGTGATGATTGAAGGATCTGTTGCGAATGATCGCATTCATGCGTAATTTGGGGAAGGGGGGGGGGCGGGGGGGGGGGGGGGGGGGGCCGGGGTATGATCGCTGATTGCTGCTGTCCCGCTTTTTAAGCGTGTTCGCTCTTGCAAATGAGATGATGATGATGCTTGCAGATTGCATTTTGCATTAGGAGTTATGATGATATGAAGCTGGACACCGAAAGGAATCGAGCTTGCGATCTTCCGCGCTCATTGACCGCCTAGGATAGAGTCAGGACCGGCGGGGCGCGCAATTAACGTGTGTGAGGTAGAGTCGTATTGCTGGCAAACGATGATGGTGATTGGTTCTTCCCCAAAGGAATCGAGGTCGCGATCTTTACAAACCGCTGATGATTGATTAGGACCTTCCGCCCATCTAATTAACGTGTGTGAGGTAGAGTCGTATGGATTCCGCGCAGTTCGTGTGACGATGTGCATGATGCGATTAACGCGGGCGGCGGGGAAAAGGAGGGGGGGGGCGGTGCGGGCGGGGAGCGGCGGGGCGGGGATGCAGATCCTCTCCTTCCTTCTTTCCTCTGCTGTCCGCCGCCGTTGGATCGACTTGGTAGTACTGGATCATCCCCGATATGCGATTAACGCGGGCGGCGGATTAACGCTGTAACTGTGTTTGTTGACGGTTGGCGGACTCCGTAATGACTGCGACCCACTGGCGTGTCGCACGTTTGTAGTGTCGCCGTGACGTGTCGCACACGGGGGGAAGTCGATTCCTGTCGTACATGATATGTCCATGATGCTCGGGCAGTTCGGCAGATGATGGTGACGAAGGCTCCGACCGAGGAGTGGAGATGTGCAGATTTCCATCTCTCCTTGATTTGGGGGTTAGCATCCTAAGGGGCATGGAAAGAGAGGTCGTGGGTGGGCGGTGCATCGTGCGTGCTGACCGGTCGAATATCGGATGCGCGTGTGCGACAGTCTGTGTGTTGGCACATGATGTGGGACAGGCCACGAACGAATTTCGTATCTCACTAGAGATGAATTCTTATCTACCTGTCTGTCTGTCTGTCTGGCTGTCGGTGGGTCTTAATCCACGTACCGAATCCACCGTCGCACAGCGCCACACACGGCCGAAAAGCCGCCACGAAGCCGTGCGATCGTCACACGGCAGCACTGTGGTCTGTAGGTGGGTCCGGTAGCTGAAGAGGTGTACGTGTTAGCGACATCGAGCGACAACCTCGACAAGTGTGTCGCTGGGGACAGGACGGGATCGCGGTGGGTATTCGACTCCACTGCTCGGGTTTGTCCGAAGATGTGCGGCGCGGGCGATCGACTTTTCGACACGTCGGCGAAGCATGTGCGGAGAGGAGCGGAGCGTTGTCCAGCGAGGAGCTGTGCGACCTTGCTGTCCGCCGATGAAGCGAATGGGTAGCCGGTGTTTGTGCGACGACACCGATCTGCTTTGTGCGGCTTCCGATGGACCGTCCGACATTGTGAGCGACACTGCTTGCGACCGGCCATCGACTCCACGACTCTTCGGCGAACTTTTGGGTTATCGATTTTTCCCTCTATAGCATCATCGATGGGAAACGGTGAGGCACAGCGATCGCGATGGTGTGTGGGACGTCCGCCGAGCTTGCGCCCGATCGGTTTCCGACCCCCGGTGTGTGACATCGTGCGTCGACAGCGGCGGAAGGGACGACTTGGCGGCAGAACCGACAGACTCACCTGCTATCCTCCGTGATCTATAACACGTGCGGTTTGGCGGCGGCGGCGGCGGCGCCGCTTAAGAGAAATGTAACCGCAGGTGTGCAACACTGGGTGACAGCACAGGCGAAGGGTAGAACGTCCTGCGGCGTGTGCGAGCGAGTTGACCCTGTGAAGACTTTAGGGTCGGACGAGCACGTGCGAACGGTGCTGTATGACCATTGATTGGCTGCGTGGCGGCAATCCAGCGGTGTGCAAGGTAATGTGCGACGATCGATTAGGTACGTGGCGACCGCCGTCTGACGCTTTGCACGGTGCTCTGCGACGATCGACTATGCATGTGGCGGCGTTCCTGCGCTGTATGGAGATCGAGTGGCCACGTGGCACCGTTCCGATGGGTGACGACCGTGCGGCCCTTTGCGCGCTGCTGTGTGAAGACCGATCAGGTGCGTGGCAGCGTTACTGATGTCGTATGACGATCGAGTGGCTACGCGGCAGCCATACGGTGGGTGACAGCCGACTGCGGATGTGCTCAGTGCAGTGTGATGATCGACTCGATGCCTGGCGTTGTTCGGGCTCTGTGCGACGATCGAGTGGACAGTGTATGGCTCTGTGCGACGGTGGTTGGGTACGTGGGGGCGTTCCAGGGCTAGTGACCACGTGGCGGCGTTTCGGCGCACCAACTGTAGTGACCACATTGCGGCGTACCGGCGCTACTGGAGGTCACGGGGCGAACTTTCGCCGCCAAGACGATGGAGCGGTGGCCACGTGGCAGCCTTCCAGCGGGTGGCGGCCGGCTGCCGATGTGCTCGGCGCTGTGTGACGATCGATTCGGCTTCCGGCCGGGCTCTGTGTGACGATCGAACGGCCTCGTGGCAGCGTTACGGCGCCTTTGTGTGGCGATCGTGCGGCTCTGCATGGTGGCCATCTGGCGCTGTACACGATGCTGTGTGGTAATCGGCTGGGTACGTGGCGGCTTTCGTGTGCTGTATGACGATCTAGTGGCCAAGGGAAGGTGTGCTAGGGCTGTATTACGATCCGATTGGTTACGTGGCGGCATTCCGGTGCTGCTGTGTGACGATCGAACGGCTTCGTGGCGCCTTTCCGGTCCTTCGTGTGGGCCTGTGCGACCGCGGACACGTGGGGGCGTTCCAGGGCTAGTGACCACGTGGCGGCGTTTCGACGCATCGCCTGTAGTGGCCACGTTGCGGCGTTTCGGCACTATCAGGAGATCATTCGGCGACGTTTCGCCGCCAAGACGATGGAGCGGTGGCCACGTGGCGGATTGTGTACCTGCATCACGATCGAATGGATGGTTATGTGTCGACCTTCCGGCGCTGTATGACAATCGACTGGATGGGGGAAGTGCACCGATCATTCGGTTCCATGCATGGCTGGACGCTGTGTGATGTCGGGATCGAGACAGCGTGAAAGGTAACAGATGACATGGCGGCTTTGAGATGCATGCGTGAACCCGAATCGATCAGAGTGTTGATGTGCTCGGTTGTGAGATGCATGCGGATCGGGAATGGAGATGGAGGGGGGAGTCGTGGAGGTGGCAAGTGATCGATTGGCGGGG